TTAAAAAGGCTTTCAAAACATAAGTTGGAGTTGTTTTTTAAAAACCATATGTTTTAACTTTAGACATAATCATATTTATATCCTGCTATGAAAGACAAGAAAATCAGCATATTTATACTTCTCATTTTTCTCCCACACTTCCCCATAGTTTATTAGCAATAGTATTGTTTGTCAATTATCAAAGCTTGTAACACTTCATTCTGGTTTGTAATCATAATCACTTCAATTTTTTAGTTTTGAATATATATATATATATATATATATTTAAATGGAGCGTATGCTCATCATCAACCCTTTTTCCTTGACTTCATCATGCTTGAATTTTTCCCCCCTACAAAGCTATATATACTCATAATTTAAAGAGTCAAGTTGGCAGAGCTTTTTATGAAAAATGCAGCTCCTTCTCCCTATGTCCCATATCTCAGAGGTAACCACTTTTAACTCTTTACATTGATTCATAATATTGTTATATCCTAATTTTTCAGTCATTGGTATTATCTATTCACTTTCTACTATGCAAGATGAGGATTCCGTACTCATTCCCATCTTGGCTACAGAGCTCTTGACTGCTCTTGACTTGAGATTCCCCTTCAGCAACATTTTGGAGATGACTTTCAATTGTCTCTTTGTTCATTTTCTGGCAGTAGGTTGGACTTAATTTCCTAATGATTGCATTCCATATTTCCTTTTAATTATTATATTCACTCAGTTGTGGTGAAGTATATATCCTAAGAGCTTTCCAGGAAGTATACATTTTTCACAACTTGAATGTCTACTCTTAACATTAATTAATAGTATAGAATTCTAGATTGGAAAAAATTATCTCTCTGAAATTTTGAAGATAAAGCTTTATTGTCCTTTTGCTTTCAAAGTTCTGTCAAGAAGTCAGATGACATTTCGATTCTAGAGCTTTTGAATAAAACTTCTCCCTGAACTTCTGAAACCTTATTGGATCTTTTTCTTTGTCCTCGGTGTTTTGAAATTTCATGGTAATGTAACATAATATACATCTAATTTTCATCCATTATGCGTTCAATCTAGAAACTCATATATTGTACTTTAGTTCCTAAAAATTTTCTTAGATTATTTCTTTGATTATTTCCTGTCCTCTTTAATCTCTCTTTCTCTCTCTGGAGATCCTGTAATTCAGATATTAGACTTCCTAAATGTTGCCTCTAATTTATGTATCTTTATCTTTTTATTTTCCACCCTTAGTTTTGTTTCTTTTTAAATTAATTTCTTGCTCATTTTCTAAAATTTATTTCCAATCCTATTGAATTCTTTATTCCTACTGTATATTTAATTGCTAAAATATATTCTTTATTATGTAGCTATTTAGATTATGTTATTATGTTCATTTATATAACATCTTGGCCTTCTTTCTTTTCTTTTTTTTTTAAGTATACTGATAATTTGGGTTCTCTCAACAAAACAACCTAGATAAAATGATCTATATTAAAAATCATTGTCAACAGACACCCCTTTCATAGCTTCCAGTCAGCTCTTTAATCCCCAATCTTAAAATGGTAGAGATTAATGCATACAGGTAGCCTTCTGCAACAGCAGACTTCCAACTGCAGATAAAAAAGAGTACAGGTATTTATTGAAAAGAATTTGCACGTAAGTGGATCTGCATAGTCCAAACCCATATTGTTCAAGGTTCAACTGTATTTCATATTAGATACTTTTCTCAAATATATGTTCATCTTTTAGTGTTGCTAATATTTAATATTGGGGATTAAAGAGCTGACTGGAAGCTCTCTATGAAAGGAGTGTCTATTGACAATGACTTTTAATATTGACCATTCTATTTAGGTTGTTTTGTTGTGAGAACTCAAATTTTCAGTATACTTAGGTCTTTTCTCTGGGATTGGTAAGAATTCCCAGATGAGGAAAAAAGGTTCCTTTGTTTGGTCCATATATTGGTGGATATATTCTGGGCTTCTGGCTTTCTGTCATCAAGATGGGGGGGAGGAGAAAGAATCCAGCATATAAATTTTGAGTATGATGCACCTGCCCTCAATTGTGCCTGAGTTTCCCTGATCTAAAAACAGCAGTTGGGGAAGGCACTGGGATCTAGCTGTCACAAGCATACTTTCACCTCTACTTCCAGCAGCGCCCGGTGCCATTTAGGGATATTTGATTTAAATTGGCACAGATTTTTACTCCCCGCACTGCAATACATTTTATCCTTTGGACTCACCACACCTAGCCTGTCTTAGCGTTGTGGTCATCATGTATCAATTTTTCTTAGAACACAATGAGTCCTTTTAAACTACAGATTCAAATTCACTTATTCTTTTTTCAGGAATATAAATTATGCATTTGTTACATCACCTTTGCCCCTCACATTGTTTATTATCTCAAAAATAATACTGTATTGGGTTTTTTTTTCCATTTCAGTTTGCTTGTTTTGTTCAAGCTTGTCTTCCATAGCACACAATTTTTAACTTATATCTGTTGTTTCCAATGTGGCTTTCATATGTAATAGTCTTATTTTCCTCTTTCATTTCTTTACTGAATTCTCCAGATATTCTTCTTCACTAAATTGCTGTATATTTTGAGCTCCTTATTCTACAATATTTTTAAGACTATAGAAAGTAGTAATTGAAACTCTTTCTCTGTTACCTTGATAATTCTTCTTCTAATATTTGTTTATATTTGCCCTCCTTTGGCTTTTCTCCTCTTCAATGTCTATATACAAGTTCCCCATTGGATTCATTTAATTATTATTTACTCTTCTTGATTTGGGCAAGATTTTTTTCTAAGGAACACTGTGGGAAGTGAGTCTAGGGGTGGTTCATATGCAAAGGGAGTTTGCAGCTTATACTTTGGTTTGTCCTCCCAAACATTCTCTTATCCAGCCTGTCTCGTTTAATACTAGGGCACATTTATCTTCAGTTTTTAATATTTAAGAAGCTAGAGAGACCCTGAGGAAAGCTCCTTAATTTGCAGACTCTCTGAATTATGATAGAGTGATCCGAACTTCTTCCTTTATCTACTCCAGATTACCTCTAGCAGGTTGCCTCAGCTGGAAGATTGGATCAGACATAATAAAAAAGGCACAGTACTATGGTTTCACTTCTATTTTCACTGTTGCCATTCTGCAGGGTCAAAATAGGTGTCTACAGAAATAGTCCTTATCTTTTTCCAGAACCTGAAGTCTTATTACTTGAATCATAGAATCACTGAGAACTTTCAGAAAATCTTCATTCAACTTGTGAGAAGATGCATCTCTGATCTATGTCATTCCTCACCTTGGTGTACATTTCACAGCTTTTGGAATGTTTGCTTCATAGTTTTTAGTTTGGAGTTGTGGCTGTTTCTTTCTGTTTCCTTGGAATTGAGCCCTCCACCCTTGTGTTTTTCCTCACCCCTGCCCAGGCTTAGAAGCAGAAGAATGTTGAAAAAGTGCTTATACTCTGCCACCTTTAAATATGTGTTCTCGTAATTCATGCTTAAACTCTGTTATTGCACCTAGAGAGCTCTCTTAGTATTAACAAACAAACAAAAATGAATACATCATGTGTCTGTATAAGTTTTCTTTGAAGAAATAAGTTATAAGTAACCAAGTCATGGAAAAGTTGTAAAACTATTTCTTTCTTTCTGCTCCTTTCCATTGTTCTCCATTCCTATTGGCATTTGAATCACCTATAGAAATGAGAATATATAATAAATCATGTGGTGCAAATACGCCTTATCGATATCCCATCGCAAGGGGTTATTTTCCTCTCATCAGGTACCAACAGAGCACAATGTCTGTATTCCCCATTGCCTCAGCCTAGTGAGCAATCCCAGTGGCACATTAGGATTGCTACATAAAATTGTATTAAAAATAAGATACTTAAGAGTTTATTTCCTTGTTCTAGAGTATGGTTTCTTAGTCTTAAATGTCTTAGACATTATATATTCACTTTCTTGACTGGCTCTGCAAAAAAGTGTTCCAATAATAAAAATTGTCCATATCTTGCCAAATTATTTTTTTTACATTGTGGAATATTCATAGCTGCCTAACTGCTGTAATAGGTAGAAATATTTAGGAATCTAATTAAAGAACTAAAGGATACATTGTGAATATTAAATTACGAAAAATAAACTTGAATCATTTCAAGGTCTATTTTTTGCTACTTATGGTAAAAACCTAATAAACCACAATTGCAAACCTTGGTCTCTGTAGTAAAAGATCCTTGACTTACAGACAAGCTAATTACAATTAATAATTTTCATTTACAAATTATTATTTATAACAAACCCATTTTCAGCATTTTGTTTAGAACTTTCTAACTTTTTCCCTACCACCTTTCTCACTGTAAAATATTTTCACTGCATTTATAATAACAAATCATATTTTAAGTATAGTACCTCTCCTCTGCATTCACGTAGGATTAGTAGATGAACAGTTACCTATATCACTTAATTAGTAGTTTATTAGTATCTCATTAGTAATAATTTAATCCATAGTGAGCCTGTCTCTTCCACAAAATGGATTTCAAAGGCAATGATCATATTGCAAAATAACATTAACATTTATTTAGTGCTTATCACACGGTAGGCACTGTCAGATGCTTAATATCTATCACATATTAGAGGTAAGATATAGTATACATCAAATAGCTTAGTATATATGAAAAATTAGAAAGGAAGTATAATGGATTCAGTGTGAGCTTTGGACTCAGATCAAGTTTTGACTCTGCTTTTCTTAGTAGCTATATGATATTGAATAAGTTACTGAAGATCTCTGAGACTACATTTCTCTGAAAAATGAGTACACTTCATATCATTTTCATCAAATAACTTTACATAGTAAATAATTAATAAATGGTAATTATTTTTATTCAGTCTGAGAATTAATTATTCTAGACAGTAATCTTATTTATAGTATATGGTCCTATCTGTCTCAGTGAAGATGTCACTCTTTCAGACCTTTTTCTGATATATATGTACTTCATTCTTGGTCTTATAAACAGTTGCCACAATACCTAGGTTATCTAATCAACTGTGCCAGGAAAAGTCACAGCATTTACCAATATCTAATATAAGTACAATACGGTGGTATTACTATGTAATTTATAATTGGATTTGAAATCCATTTCACTTAAATAATTCTTGGATCATTTCTTTTTCTCACAGAAAACACAACCTACTACTACCAAGGCAGCTTTAAAGTGCTGGATATCCCACAAAATAGAAATTATGAAAGGGAGACATCACCAGAAAATAACTATTTTAGCAAAATTCTTGAGACTAAGGTAAAGAGTTTTTAGTATTTTCTATATTTATTTAATTGTTAATTTTCTCACATATAAATATATTATTGGAATTTGATGTTTGACTTTGTTCTCTTTAACAGATGGTTGATGCATTTCAAAGTTCTAGCATTTACAGACAATACATCAATTCTCAAGTCATCACACTGGTGTAAGTAGCAAACAATAACAGAAAAGAGATCAACCAATCATATATACCATTATGCTTAAAGTTCCTCTGTAAAAAGTCTATTGATATGTTATGATCGTTAACCAATTAGTTATTAATATTCAGCATTATTCTAAAGTGTCAGATTGTTGAGTATAAAACTGAAGCAAAGATCAGGCTCTATAGTTGAGTTCATTAGATCTATTGAGAATGTATCAATCCATAAATTACAGATGATGTATCCCTCTGGTTTCATAAGATTTTATGTCCAGCAAACATTAGATAGTTCCTAATATCAATGTTTAATGCTTTAACATTTTTATTTAGCAATAGCATAGAGACAGACCTTGCTTTCTCGTACCCTTTTCCTTGCAAGTCAGCTAAACATCTTATAGAACTGTCTTAGAGTTCTTATAGGGTAGAAAAGAGCATATCCACAGCAGGCTTTGATGCCAAGGAAATTCTTCTAGTCACTATAACAAAAAGTAAAATACCTATGCTGTGTTTTCTGCATGTGGGTTTGGAGTAGCATGGAATAGCAGAGGGAACCCTACATCCTGAGCCCAACCTTTACCTCTTAGTAGCCCTAGAGAGCCTTGGGGGAGTCACTGTATCACTTTGAGTCTGCTCCCCTATCTATGAAATATTGGTAATAACACCTACATTGCTTTTCTAACAAAACTGTCCTCAGGATCAAAGAAGTTAATGTGTGTGAAAATATTTGCAAATAAACACATTTCAAGTGAAGGGAATTGTTGCTTTTACCTTCATCAATGCCACCAGATGATGTCTGCCCTTTTTTTATTGCTCCTGGAACCCATGGGCTCCTGGGATTGCAGAATACATCAAGATCTCAACTAGCAATAAAAAAATTATATAAAAAAAAAGATCTCAACTAGCATTAATCTGGGGCTCAATTTTAGTATTGGAAAGAAATGGGAGGCTAAAATTAAAGGGCCTGTATACCTCTCAGAGAAAACTGCAACCACCAGTAGTCTTTTTTTTTTTTTTTATGTAACTTCAGTTATCTATGCAAAGCATGGGTCCATAGGAAGTGATGGAAAGGCAGTTTTTTATTTTGACACACCCTGTTATAATAACCAAACTTTCATGAGCTGAGTGCATCCTAGGAATGATTACTGATTTATATCCCAGAAGACTGGTCATCCATTAGAGAGATCCAAAGCATAAGAATGCCACTTCAGACACCAGCCTCAAGACTGCCTGACAATACCTACATGTCCATTGGCCAGCCTCTTGAGCTACCTATCCCTTTCCCAATTACACAGAAATCCTCCCTGAACACTATAGTCACATTAATTTTCCTCAAGAATGGCTTTACTTAACTTCTCTTTACTGCTACCCTTTGGCTAGCATTAAAGACCCTCCTCCATCTGAGCCCAGTCTCCTAGACACTGTTGTCACTAGCTGTCTGGGCATAGGGGGATAGAATGCATAGTGTTATTGGTTATGGAGTCAATTGCACTGAATCAGGATCCTGGTTAAGCAGCTGCATAATCTTGAGCACGTTAGGTAATCTCTCAGAGCCTCAATTTTTCTTTGTCTTTAAAATAAAGATAATGACACCAATGCAGCAGTGTTGTTGTGGAGACTAAATATGATAATAAATGTGATAACAAAGTACCTAGAAAACAGTAGATTCCCAATAAATGCTAATTAATGTTATTGCTCTCCAATTATTCTGGAGTACTATTCTTCCTCTTCTCTGCCTGATGAATTTTTCTGCTTGATGATGTAGCAAAGAAAATACTTACAGTTCCAATGTGTACATCACCTCTTCCATGAAAATTTCTCTGATCCTTTAAGTAAAAAATGACTTATCCTGCATTTGACTATTTGCAGATAAGATAAACATCTTACCACTTTTGCCTCATTTATTATATTCATTTGTATATATGCTTTATCTCCCTTAATAAT